GAGTACAAGTTTAAAAATCCATGGTTCCATTGCATTGGTTTTAAGTGATGTCAGGGGAGAGGACGCGAGTTAGCGTAGTTTAGCATACTGAAAAGCCCCCTGTGATGTCCTGAACAATACAATGCATTTGTTACGTCCTCACTTGTGAATATGATGCAGGTTTGCATGTCTGTATAAATGTGCATCAAACCTCATGGTGTCATTTTCTTGTGCATGTACCTAGTGAAAGGCACAGATCATAACTGTGGGTTTTTCATGGCAGGAGACATGCTGCGTTACCTTCAGGAGAGTCGGGAGCGAGCAGCCGAGATGATCCGCATGGAGGTGCAGAGGGAGAGGCAGGACACTGCCAGAAAGATGAGGCACTATTATCTGACCTGTCTGCAGGAGTTACTGGAGGACGGAGGAAAGACTACAGGGCAAGAGGCCATAATCGTCCTAAACTTGTTTGCTTGCTTCATCATGGCTCCTCAGGCTAATTGTATTGATCGTCTTGTATTCTACAGGGCTGAGAAGAAAATAATGAATGCTGCAAGCAAGCTGGCAGCCATGGCTAAAGTGCTGGAGACGCCTTTAAAAAGTAAATCTGGAAAGAACTTCAGTTTACAAAGTGAGTCCTGCTGTGCTGAACTGGTGTACTGTATAATGTTTCTTTTTTGCTTCACAGTGTCAGTGTGGTGGGAAACTGTGTTTTGTGTGAACATTTTGTTTGTTTGACGGCTGTGTTCACAGCAGACTGCCTTCCAGGAAGAAATGCAGGTTTCACCAAGAACCAGTCAACACTAACTGAGCTCCCTGACATGAGGCCAGAGGGAAGATCCAACAGGGAAAAGTCCTCCGCTGATTCAGAACAAAAACAAACTGCTGCAGTGAGGACAAAACCTCTGAGTCACCAGGACATTTCTACATCTGAGAAGGAGGCGGCCTCAGTAGATGCAGCGCTGAAACCCCAAACTGCTGCTCACACACACCTCTGCTCTTACAAACCTTCCCAACAGATTGCTTCTCCGTCCCAGGTCGAGTTTGTCAATGTGTCTGTGAGGAGTAAGAGCAGGGAGATGTACCTGCAGGGAGCAGACAACTGCAACGACTCAGAGCGACAGAGCAAACCGTTCCTCATCCAGGAGGCTCCTGTCAGAGACGAGAGAAGGAATGACTGGAGCATGACCAGTTGTGACTCAGACACTGGCTTCCATGTTTCTTCACACTCTTACTCAGGGAGGAAAGTAGAACCAGTGAAGCCCTTTTCTGTCTCCGCCGCATTCGCCAGTGACTTAGGAGAGTTTGCTGGCCTCACTCCGGATGTTTCTGACCTTACTGTTTACAATGAAATTGCCAAAAACACACCCCACACCCAGACCTTGAACTTGCAGCATGCAAAAATGGGTACACACAGAGAGCCCACCCCTGGCTCTGAGGGTGAGAAGCAGCATGGAGTTTGTTCCAGGCCTCTGTTCTCTGAGTTGAGACAACGCCAACAGGACAGCGGCTTTGACAGTCCGTTCTACCAACAAAAATGACCAAGTGAAGGGCAGGTTGGAAGGGAAGTTAGGAGGCGAGTTTGGAAATGACTTGAGGATTTCAGTTAGCTCACCAAATAGTGCCTTTAATACAGTGTATAATGTTTACACGATGTAGGACCTTTGCCTTCATAGCTTGTTAAAGGAGTAGTTTTACAGAGTTGTGTGAGTTGGGCATGAGTTGGGTGAAAAGATTGATAGCACTGTCATGTCTGTATATTGGGTATAAATGCTAGACAAGGCCAGTTAGCTGTTAACAGCTTGTCTCTGTCCAAAGGTAATAAAATCCACCTATTAGCACCTCTAGCACTCACTCATTAACAGATTACACCTCTTTCCTTTGATCCGTACAAAAACCAAAGGGTCAAATTACAACAGTAGTTTCATGTTAAGTTATGTGCTGGACATTTCCAGGAGTATTGTTGTCACTGTGATGTTGCCAGGCAACCAGTAGAGACTGCCAAGAAATGGAAAACAAAGGAGATCTAACTTGTAAATGAACATTGTTGAGGTTTAGAGTTACAGATGGGTCAATCGTGTTACCTTGGGACAGAGCCAGGCTCGCTGTTTCCACTTTTGATGCCAAGTGAAGGGAAGCGTACCTTCCAAACCCTGACAATGACACAATAGTGGCATCAATCTGTTCATCAAACTCAACAAGAATGCGAGTTAGTGTTTTTTATATATGAGTAAAACTGCACATTGAAGCAAAAGTGTTGAGTTTTATAGCCATTTTTTGGGAAAGAAGCAGTGGCTACATTTTGTACTTCTCTACCTATGACCTCTCACCTCAGGTACACCACAGAGCTCTAGAAATATTTGTTTGTTTCTTTTGGCCTCATACACTCCTTTTCAACCTTTCAGTCTAGCTGTAAACATGCAGCTTTGAAAAAAAATGTTTATAGTTCCAAAGCCTCATCTGTGCCTCAAATGATCCCGGCACCTTATTGTACCCTGAACTAGACCAGTCAGTGCTGGTGCAGGTTCAAGCTCATATCAGTCTTCTGAGTTCTTTTTCCTCTCTGTCTGAGTCCACTGTGCCTTTGCTTTTATATTTTTTAAAATATTTTATATCACATTAATGAAATATGCTGTGCATAGATTGTTTTTTTTTATATATATATTTATTTCATTTTAATAAATAATTTCAATACAAATTAAGGAAGAATCATTTGTCATGAGAGCAGAGCCTTTACTGGAAGTCATGTTAAAGAAAGTAGTTTATATCAGAGATTAATTTTGGTAAATACAGTCCTACTTACTTTAATTTAAACCAAACACTTCTTTTAATTTTCTGTTATTTTATGAGCTAATTAATTAATGGAGAAAATAATGAAATGAAAATACTTTACTTTAAACGCTTTTGTTTTTGTTGCCATTTTTCACAGATTCAAATTAAAGATCGTGAACTTTTTTATGCACGTAATAGATATATTTCTGTCAAATTTTGGTCGCAAATGTGTTAAAATCCATGTTAGTGAGCACTTCTCCTTTTCCCAAGATAATCCATCCACCTGGCAGGTGTGGCATATAAAGATGCTGATTGAACAGCGTCATTACCACAGGTTTGCCTTGGGATGGTCAAAATAAAATGCTACAATTTTAGGGCCATTATAGTGCTGACTGCAGGAATGTCACCAGAGCTGTTGGCCGTGAACTGAATGTTCATTTCACTATCATTAGATGTCTCCAATGGTGACTCCCTGAATTTGGCAGTACATCCAACCAGCCTTACAATAACACACCACGAGGAGTTACACCAGCTCAGGACCTCCACACCCAGTATCTTCACCGTCTGAGACCAGCCACCCAAACAGCTGATGCAATTAGTCTGCACAATTGAGCGTAGTGTTAGTTCAGGCAGGATGTCAAGCTCAGCTCACATTCCAGCTACATCAGCTGATCTCAAACATCCCAATCAACTGATGGAGTAGCTGATAGATCACGATTCCTTTCTATGCACCCTGTTTAAACTGCTCTGGCCTGCCTATTGTTGCTGCTTCTTCTGCAAGCCGCTTTGCAACCCGCCTCCACCCCAGCGCCTACTTTTCATGTTGTGTAAGAAAAGGCAGAGGGGCCCCAGAACAGAGCCATATCGCCAAATATAATACTGCAAATGCAAATAAAGTTTTCTTTGACCAAAGAGTTCCTGACTGAACTTAAGAATTTCTGCACAAACTGTCAAAAATGGTCTCAGGGAAGCTCATCTTCATCCTCACAGAGGTCTTGACCTGACAGCACTTTCAGCACTCACTAACATGGATTTTAACAAATTTGTGACCAAAATATTAATAGATTGGTGTCACAGATTCAACAAGGTGCTGGAAACATCCCTGAGATTTTGGTCCATATTGACATGACAGCATCACACAGTTGCCGCAGATATGTCGGCTGCACATCGAAGATGCAAATCTACCATTCCACTGCACCCAAAGGTGCTCTATTGGATTGAGATCTGGTGACTGTGGAGGCCAGTGGAGTACAGTGAAGTCATTGTCATGTTCAAGAAACCAGTTTGAGGTGATTTGAGGTTTGTGACGTGGTGCTTTATCCTGCTGGAAGTAGCCATCAGAAGATGGGTACACTGTGGTCATGAAGGGATGGACACGGTCAGCAACAATACTCAGGTAGGCTGTGGTGTTTAAACCATGCTCAGTTGGTACTAAGGGGCCCAAAGTGTGCCAAGAAAATATCCCCCACACCATTACACCACCACCACCAGCCTGAACCGTTGATACAAGGCAGGATGGATCCATGCTTTCATGTTGTTTACACCAAATTCTGACCCTACCATCTGAATGTGGCAGCAGAAATCCAGACTCATCAGACCAGGCAACGTTTTTCCAATCTTCTATTGTCCAGTTTTGGTGAGCCTGTGTGAACTGTAGCCTCAGTTTCCTGTTGTTAGCTGACAGGAGTGGCACCTGGTGTGGTCTTCTGCTGCTGTAGCCCATCTGCTTCAAGGTTCAACACGTTCAGAGACGGTCTTCTGCATACCTTGGTTGTAACGAGTGATTATTTCTCCTTTGACCTGTGGCATCAACAAGGCATTTTCACCCAGAGAACTGCTTGCTGAATACTCAGACCAGCCCGTCTGGCACCAACAACCATGCCACATTTAAAGTCACTTAAATCACCTTTCTTCCCCATTCTGATGCTTGGCTTGAACTTCAGCAGGTCGTCTTGACCATGTCTACATGCCTCAGTACTCTGAGTTGCTGCCACATGTTTGGCTGATTAGTTATTTGTACCTAATAAAGTGGCTGGTGAGTGTATAAAATGTCTTACATTTTAAACCTGTAAAAACTGGAGCCAAAACAGTGTGTTGAGTTTAAAATGTAGTTCTGTGTGTGTGTGTCACAACTGATTTGGTTAATATGTTGAGCACTTTCCAGCCCTTCTTCTGATGCCTGTGCTCCTCCTCTGTCCTGGGGACCATTTATGCTCCGACCCTCTTTTTCCCTCAGCAGATCTCAACATTGAGTCCTACTACACACTGGTGTCTGCAGCTGTCCACTGATAAACATGATTATCTGGATCCTGCTTGCAGCTGCACTTCTTGTCGCCCTTTTCCTTCGCTATCCTTACTTTATCCAGGATGTCCGATTCCTGCGGGATCGGTTTAAAGCAAGGGAGCTTGTCTTAAAGTACAAGCAGACCAACTACTCCATCCTGGACCGTTTTTTTGAGGTGGTGAAAGCGCAGCCACACAAACCCTTCGTGCTTTACAAAGACGAGACGTACAGCTTCCAGGACGCGGATGAGCTGAGCAACAAAGCCGCACGAGTTTTCCTGCAGATCGGACTCAAAGAAGGAGACAAGGTCGCGTTGTTTCTCAGAAATGAGCCCATGTTCCTGTGGATGTGGCTGGCCTTGGTGAAGATCGGATGTTCCGGTGCTTTTCTCAACTACAACATCAGATCAAAGTCCCTGTTGCACTGCTTCAGCTGCGTCGGAGCCAAGACTCTGGTTGCAGCTGGAGGTAAGAAGTACACACATCGTGCACTGAGCAGTAACTGTGCAGAAACTTAGTTACAAACAGTGTTAGGTTACTTTTGCAATAGGTCACAGATCACTAGTTACCATCTTAATAAGTAATGCAACTTTTTGAATTATTTCATTAAAGCAATGCAAATAATTACATATGATTATTCTCTTTTAAATAAATGTTTTAACCTGGGCAATTAAGCTGAAAAATGTCCTGCAACAGGCCAAAAGAAGGCACACACCTTTGTAATCACTCACATTTTGATTAGTAACTAATTTAATCACATCCAGCTATCAGTGCCAGGTATCAGTACCATTCATTTTGTCATTATCAGTAACTGCGTATCCTGGTGCAGGGTCATGAGGGGCTGCAGCCTATCCCAGCTGACACTGGGCGAGAGGCGAAGTGTGTCATTATAGCAAAGATCCAATAATATGTGATACATGTAAAACTAATCTCATAGAGTAGGAGAGAATTCAGTGTTTGCCTCTAAAAATTGCTCTAGTAAAATCCAAATACCTTAAAATGGTACAAAAAAGTAGAAAACATCATGTCTTATGAGTTATCTTCCACCCATAGGTGCCTCTCAGTACATGAAGGAACTTTTTAGTTTGCTTTCTTCCAGGAGCACAGGGCTGCATTTATGTCATGCAACCTGAATGTAACTTAAGCTCCACATGCAGTTTACTGTAGGTTTATATCCTCAGATTAAGCTCTGATGCATTTAGCATTTATTATCTTCAGCAGGGGTGTAAGTGAAAACACTGCAAGAAACAGTGCATGAAAATGTTGATTGCACGAAGTCAGTGTAATAGCTTTTGTAAAGGCTGTCGGGCTGGTTATGTGCTTTCCACTGAAGAGTTAGTCATTCATATGGAGCCTAACAAAGCAACATCTGTCCTCAGAAAAAAGGAGAAACTTGGGTGAAAGAGAAGTGTCTTATCAAGTTTAGCTACTTCATATTTCTCCCTTACATGTCAGTCAAATATTGCACTTTTTATTGCACTACGTTTCTTGAGAGCTTAAGTTGATTGTTATATAACAGCAGGAGTGTCAAAGCTGAAATTTAATAGTGGGCAATGAGCTTAAAGCAAACACCTATTGTGTTGTATTGTTAAGATGCAAAATGTCACTGGGATCCCATTTCCCTTCACTGAAATTCCTTTTGTCTGTGTGCCAATGTCTCTGCCGCTCTATTTTTTTTCTCAGCTCACTTGCGCCAAACTGACTCTCTGTGCCAAGTGTCACTCTGTCTGCTGCGCTCAGGTTATAAAAATAATTGATAATAAGTAGGGAACCACATATTTATATTATTATTATGTTTTTAAAAAAATGCTAGAAACATCTGGTAGACCGAATCACATCTTATGATGGGCCATCTCTGGCCTGCAGTTTTACAAAACATATTATCATTTTATGAAATAAAACACAGTGTTAAATCTTACGCCAGTGATTCCCAATCTTTTTGGCTTATCACCCTTTACAAAAATGGCAGTGCCTAGTTATCACCACTGATTGTCGCCCAAACAGATGAGAGTATTCAATATTCCACAACACATGCAAAGATAAAATAAGAAAAGTACCCAAAAATGAATACTTTTTTCCTTATCCTTGTTTCATATGGCTAGAGAAAAACTGTCTGATGATATGTGGTATAAAGCAAACTTACTGTCTCATGAAGAAGAGTTACAATATTGAGCCTTATGTGAAGTATAATTTAAACAAAAGACAGTTATACTCAGGAGCATCACCATTAGCCTTAGAGCTGTAGAGACCAGTAGGTTTAATGATACTCAGAGGAGGACAGACGTTGTTTGATGTCTGACATTGGTGAAAATATTTTACTGTCCTTCATATGATGATATCAGGGACTTTTAGGAGTAATTTTAGATCTTCAATTAAAATTTGATAAACATATAAGGAAAATTTCAAAAACAATAAAGATGAACCTTAATTGTTTTAAATTGATAAGGCACCACATACCCACACAGGCAGCCCAGTTATATCATAAATCTAAATTTGGACAAACAGCGTTTTCCATAAAGGGCTGTCAGCTCTGGAACACATTACCAAGTGAAATCAAACTGATTACAGATATAAAATCCTTCACAACAAAGGTCAAATGCAGGTTAAACGCAAACCAGAGCTGTAGCCACTCTTAGCTGAATGCGCTCAAACTTTTAGGGGTATTAGTGTAAGTGTTTTGGTGTATTGTGGTATGTGTACTTGTCTTCTGACTTGTGGTTTTATCCCCAGAGTTACAGGATGCTGTGGATGAGGTCCTGCCCACTCTGCTGGAGCAGGGGATCACTGTTCTCACCCTGGCTGACCGAACCGAAAACGCACACATGCAGAGCTTCAAAGAAAAAATGAACCAGGCCCTCTCGGGGCCTTTACCCAAGGGTTTAAGGTCACGTGTTAACATGATGAGTCCTGCAGCCTACATATACACATCAGGGACAACAGGTAAGCTCCCTCAGGTGTGACATGTTCGGGATTTATCAGTAAAAGAAACCGGACCTACATCACATGTGCCTCTGGCTTGTCTTTCAACAGGTTTACCTAAAGCAGCAGAGATCTCTCACGCCAGACTGTGGTTCATAGTTTGCTTCATGTCTAAAATGGGAATGACCACCAAAGATGTGATCTACATCAGCCTCCCACTCTATCACACTGCCGGCTTCATTGGATTCGCTTCAGCCATTGACATAGGTACATACCAGGGCTGTTAACACTGGGTCACGCAGAACGTGACCCAGTTTTTTACAAAATTTTTCTACAAAAATCTTCGATCAGGAGTTTCCAAAGTTTTGATGACTGAGTGCTATTTTAAGGGGTCTGCATATGACCTCCAACCTCCTTTTAATATTCTTCATCTTGTTCCTGTGTGCAGGTATCACCGTGGCTCTGAGGGATAAATTCTCTGCATCTAACTTCTGGGACGACTGCAGAAAATATAACGTCACTGTCTTTCAGTACATAGGTGAAATCATGCGCTACCTCTGCAACACACCAAAGGTATGAACTATATGTCACAACATTAACGGTACTCTCACATTAAAGGTCACAAGAAATAAAAAACAACTGTTGTTTCCTCCCTGACAGAAACTCAATGATCGAAGCCACAAAGTGAGACTTGCGATAGGCAACGGGATCAGAGCTGATGTTTGGAGGGACTTCATCGACAGGTTTGGAAACGTCGAAATCAAAGAGTTTTATGGAGCAACTGAGGGGAATTTCGGTCTGGTGAATTACGTCGGCAAGATCGGAGCTGTTGGCAGACACTTCTACTACTTAAAGGTAAATGTTCATATTTCATTTCACATTGTGAAATAAAAACCTGTGAATCAGTCAGCAATGTTTGATGGCTTTTTTCTTATCTTGCAGAAGCATTTTCCTTACGCTGTGATCAAATTCGACATAGAAACAGCAACACCTCTGAGGGATTCTTCTGGTTTCTGCATAGAGGCTGACAAAGGTGCGTTAGACCCAGGGCTGTACGTAGGTACCACTCAGGACACGGAGGTCAGGTCCTCAATTTTTGTTTTTGTTTTTCCTCGGTAATATAGAGATTTGAAGTTCAGTTGAGGACACCACCGTCATGTCCTCAATTTTTTTCTTCTTCAGGGCTTATGGATAGTTAATAATGACTTTACACATAGTGTTTTTTTAACAGATTCAATGTCCTTAAATTTGATCATTTTATACCAACAAATTTAAGTAATGCAGGTATTGAATAAAATAAACTGACAGAGTTTATCCCAGGTGGACTAAAGAATAAGCTTACAAAACAATCTCTAGATTATCAACTGTAAACAGCTGTTTTTAAATGAATGAGGGATTTAATAACATTAATAGAGCGACTCACAGTGCGCCGCAATTGTCATTGCTAGTTTCAGGCCGACACAGTTGTCATTGTACCGGTTAGCGCCAACGTTGTGTAAGCAGGAAATGCACTTGCCCCCATGGCTTTGTAGGTCTTAAAATGAGGTGTTGTCAGGAGCATTGTTGATGTATTGCTATTTTTAGGCAGTGAAATTGATTGCACCATTGACCTGCAAAAACCTGGTCTTAAGTCAGTGATGCAGTATTCCTGCTTTTTAAAAGGCGTGTTATTCAAACAGTAAGATGCGCCTACATTGGCGGATTCACAACCAGTGCACACTCTGCTTGTTACGCACACACAGGGGCGAGCAGATGGGTTGAGGGTGGTTGAAATATGACCTCATTAATGAGGAAAATATTAATTACATTCTCTTTACATGTGAACATAGAAGAACTGCAGAGAGAGACCCTTTTTTTTTACATTTATACACGAGGAGCAGCGTAACGTAATTTTTTCAGAAGCTAAAAGTTCAGTTTTGTTTCACCTGTCAAGTTTATAACTATATACGTGCTCAGGCATGTCATTGCACATAAAATAAGTTATTGCACTAAAGAAAAGAACTGTAATGTGTTTTAGTGGGTTCGCTTCAGCTCAAAGTTCAGTATGGTGATGGCTTTGGGGTACAGACTGTATGAATCTTGTGGTGCGTGTCTTGATGTACCAGTAGCATCTTTTGGAGGGCAACAGTTCAAACAGGTGATGAGCAGGATGGAATGAGACACGCATATCATTAATTAAGGGTCTAAATAAAACCCCTTTGCCCCTTGCGCCGTACTTTGTGCCCAGATAATGTGTCGTTTAACTAGCAAGTGGAGTTGGACATGCCCTAAATGCACTTGCAGTTCACTTTATACCAGCACTTAGATGGTTTAAATAGTGCCCAGAGAGTCTACAGCCATGTCAGCAGCTCTGTGAGGCTCTGCTTGAGAAAAATACTCATATAATCAACTCTCCTGTTATCGTCCCGTTTACTACACAGTGTCTCCCCTCGAAGATAACAGGAGGGTTATTCATTTCTGTTGTGATTTTTCAGTGGTGGTCCAACTGACACATTAGTATTTCAAATGCCTGTTTGTACTTTTAGCCAAGTGTTGGATGATTCAGTGCATCAATAAAAATACCGAAATCCGTTTTCATATCCTTCTAAATCTGTAAATCCGTCACTGTGCTTTACAATTACTAAACACAGTGAATGTTTTTAATACGCTGTAAAATGCCAGGGCATTCTATCTACTGTTTATTACACCTCAACACAACTGGTTTTATTTGTGCTTCAACACACTGGTGTCAAAGCGAGTTACAGGATCACCTTGTGGTTAACCCTCTGCAGGTGAGCCTGGACTTCTGGTCACTGAGATATCACCGTGTGCTCCGTTTGGCGGTTATGTTGGAGACCTTCAGCAAACTGAGAAGAAGAAGCTGCGGGACGTCTTCAAGAAAGGAGACTTGTACTTCAACACTGGTGACCTGCTGCGCATTGATAAAGAAAATTTTTTCTACTTCCACGATCGAGTCGGAGACACTTTCAGGTGAGCTCATCCTTTGGTTTCAGCCACCTACTTTAAAGTGAAGCTTAAAAACCTGAGTGCAATGAGTGATTTATTTTAATACATAGATGGAAAGGAGAGAACGTGGCTACAACTGAGGTGGCTGACATCCTCACAATGGTCGACTGCATTAAAGAAGCCAACGTGTATGGAGTCACAGTGCCAGGTAATTATCGCTCTACATCTTCTCTTTTTTGTCAGCAGCAAAGTGTGAGAGCAGAAATAGTCTTCATTCATTCATCTTCCATAACCGCATGTCCAGTTGGGGATCACAGGGTGGCTATCCCAGCTGACATTGGGCGAGAAGCAGGGTACACCCTGGACAGGCTGCCAGACTATCACAGGGCTGACACATAGAGACAGACAACCATTCACACTCACATTCACACCTACGGACAATTCAGAGTCACCAATTAACCTGCATGTCATTAGACTGTGGGAGGAAGCCGGAGTACCCAGAGAAAATGTCTGTCACAATGTCCCACAGCCTAGTCTTCAAATTTCTGTTTTGTCTAAGCATTTTATAGACAGTCCAACACCCAGAGATATTCACTTTACAATAACATGAACAAAGAAAAATTGGCACATTGTTTCAGCTCTGAGGTAAACTTCATTTCAGGAACATGAAGAACCTGAGCCAGCTTTCAATATTTCATTAAAGGTCGTCTTTGTTTGAAATAATTCAGATGTTGACTCTATTTAATTCCTCTCACATTTACATTCGTCTGATTGCCTCAAATAGATTTTCAGCAGAAACTTGATTTGAAATTATTTTCACTCCAGAGTTGATTAGCTTTGAGAAACTTCTGAAAAACACCTCCCATTTATGTTTTTCAAGGGTGTTTTTCTTGACTGAGCCTGTTGTTACAGACTGACAAGACCTGCCCAGTTTCTTAGAGAAAGGAAATGCAGCCTTTTGAAGCCTCAGTTACACTTTCCACACGCTAGATCTCATGGACATATGCTGGCGCAGAATCCTGGCAAGGAAACGTCAAGGCCAAACGGTGGAATTACAGTCTCCAAGTCCGTCACGTTATCCCATGGAGCCCTAAAAGGAATTTTCCCATAGACTTGCATGTGAAAAAGACATCTGTAAATCCGCAAATTATCCTTTTTTGAGCATCAAGAATTTTATCCATTTGGTCCAATAACATTTAGACAGTGGAGAAGAGCAAGAGTTCACGTTAGGTGAGTGCTAAACCAAGAGTGCCTAATGCCATTATCGGTTCTGCTTATCGGTCTGATTCTTTATCAGTTCCCTCATTGATTTCTGATCACTTATCTGCGTGGAAGAAAAAGTAGGTCTGTGACAACTGTGACATAATCTCTAAGTCTGAACAAAGTGTACAAACAGATTAGAAATAACGCGTGCATGTGACTCAGGTGTTTTCTTAGTCAAAGACAAAAAACCTGCTCAGCCTGTGTAGAGGAAAATGTTTTACCTCAGAGTTTTAGTGTGATATTAATGTGTTATTTTCCTTCCTGTTCACCTGATTCAGTGACGAACTGTTTCACACTGATTAATAGACCCCTGTGTGTAAATGTCACAGCTACTCATCCAGGAAGACATTCTTTGAGGTGCTGAGGGGATCAGGACAGATTGAGAGCTTTGTTGCCACTCAGACATATTGATTAGCCCGACTCACAACCCACTGTTAGCTTTTGATGTAATAATAATAAGGACTACTCCATACCCATTGAGTGCACAGTTGCCCACGTACAGTTTCACATGGTGTGTGTTTGGGATACAGGTCATAGGAAATTGCAGATTAAATAGTCAACTGAACCCATTAAGAAGAGTAATGTATTCAGACAGAGTTTTTGTGAATTTGATAGTACGATTGCTTTATTGAAAGTACAGTAGTACCATTGCCAGTAGTGGGATAGTTAGTGGGCTAAACCTGTACATTAGTAGTTGAGGTAGCACGTTGAAAGGCAGATAGTTAAAGTCATTCCCTTATAGAAGCTCAGTTTTACTAAGTTTTCCAACTTTTGCCAAGAGCGAACTTTAGATATTGGTCCCTAGATTATGTTCACCAAGTTTCATGCAGATCGGTCAAACTTCCTAGGAAGAGATCGATTTGAAGTGTTTTTCAAAAAATACAAAATAGCAGAAAATCTATATAACCGTAAGTTATGGGTTCTTGAGGCAAATTTGCTCCTCATGAGGAGAGGCATCTCTGTGCACAGTTTCATGTCTCTACGACATACAGGGCATGAGAAATGCCCATTCAAAGTTTGCAATTTCAATCGGTTGCTATAGCACCCCCCTTTGGCCAATTGATGTAATATTGCTTCATTCACATCCTCCCATGACCCTCTACCACTGGAACAGACACACCCACAGATGGACAGAGTTCTCCTCATTATATAGTAAGATAAGAATAAGAATAATGATAATAAACTTTATTAATAAAAACGTTACAAATTGCTTTACATGGTTGATCCTGGATTTAAAACAATGCGGGATTTAAAGGGCCAGTGTGTAATATTTGGCATGGTTTATTGTCAATCTGAATCTGAATCTGAATATTCTACCCATTAATATGTTTATATAAGTGTATAATCGCTATAAAATAAAATTTGTTTGGTTTTCGTAGCCTTATAATTATGCTTTTATATATATATATATATATAGCAAGGGCCTTGCTTTAGAGAGGTCGCCATCTTGCGCCGCCATGTATGTAAGGCAGCCCGAGCGGACAGTCCAGCCAGCCAGAGAACGCGTTTCGCGTGTATAAATGAACCAATGAAGACAGCGGAAGGAAGGAAGAAGGAGGAGGAGGAAACAGCAGAGAGTGTTAGTAGTTCGTCGATAGAGAGTAGTGAAAAGTTTTTTTAGTTATAAAGTTTGCGAATGGACCACACTTACCACGCAACAGGAGAGAATGAACCCGAACCGTCATCTGCGAGGAAAAGAAGACGCAACTTCACTCCTTGTGATGCACTCTCTGCGGCACTTTTTCTCCTGATGATATATCTCCCCAACAATGGCAGCAGTAGCATCGAATCCCATTCTGTGCATTCAGCCTCTCTTCTCGCCCACTCAGCATCAAACACATGGAGTTCCTCATCTGTATGCTCCGGCTCAAACAGGTATGGCTCTGGGTCTGTGTCCGCTACAAGAAACTCTTCAAAATCGCGTTCAAAGTCGTCCATTGCAGCTACTATAGTCCGGAGATATTGCTAGGCTAAATAAACAGCTGAGCTCTGTTTACCGGCTACGCTGTCAGTCAGTGTGCGGGCTGGAGATTGGTGGAGCAGAGAGGGGAGGGGGGTCCCCACTTAGTATAGTAAACGAGTATGTGTGTAAAGTTATGAAGTGTGTGTGTTACGCTAGAAGAGTCAGAGTTTGGGACGGAGTCTTTTACCCCCTGGAGTGTTATCAGAGTTTCTGGAGTGCTCAAATAAACGTGCCTTTTTCCCGAACGCTCCTCTGGTCTCCTGCTCGTGAGGGATTCATTACAATATCGTAACATGGTTTAGATTTCTAAATAAACATTCACCTTGTCGCTAGATAGACCTACTCCTGAAAAACTCGTGCACAAGGCTTTTTGTCCCTACGAGGCCACCGTCCTTTACCCGATGGGAGGGGTGAGCGAGTGAGCCCTGCAATCTAGAATTTGACCACTGATGTCACTGTTTTCAACCCATTTTACACACTGGCCCTTTAAGCAAATAAAATGAGGCAATTTTAAGAAATACAAAGAACAGTGACAATTGAATAAAGATAAAATACCATCACTGAGGCTGAGGCAAAGCTGGCAACTAATTGCCTTGTAGATTGCACTGAGGTGTGGGAAATCGAACAATTAGAGTAATACAGAATAAAAGAATACAATAACCGGTGGCAACACAAGATTAAAAACAATAAAAATAATCAAATGAGACATGTATAAAATAAACAGTGTGCTGAATTTAATAAAAGGCTTTTTTGAACCAATAAGATGTCACTGATTCAGCAAGCCTCAGATCAGATCTAACACTATAAAAACCTTGTTCTGAATGTTCATCTTTAGATAAAATTCAACATCCTCACTGTGAACTTCTGTCTCTACTGCGCAGTGAATACAACTCATCTGAACAAGCCACAGAATTGGACCTGAAAAACACCTGCCTGTGCATCACCATGTTATTAAAACACAGGATATTTAACCTCGGTAACAGACGTGCAGCTCAGTTGGAAAGCAGTGGCGCTTGTGTGTAGAGTGTCAGATACATGGCATACCAGGGGCCGTATTCACAAAGCCTCCCTATACAAACAGTTGCTCCTTGTGACAAAATTCTAAGAACATTCTTAAAATTGTGACGCTTTCTTAGTATTGCCCCTTAAAGTTCAGACTAAAGATAAAAGTTATTCACAGAGCATCTTAGCCCTTAAAACAGTTGAAAGGTGAAAACTGTTAGGAGCAGAGAGGAGGACTTTTAAGAGGCTTAAGAGCTTCTTAATCAGAGGAGAAAATAGTGAAAGACAAAGAGGTGGGAGAAATATTCTCCACTGGATGACAGTGAGTAAATGAAATGCTACATATCAGATGCTGCAGGGATAATATGTGTGTGTCATTTCCCACCTAATGCTATAATGCCAGTAATAAAATGATCACAACACCAAGATATTTGGAAAACTGGAAAATGCAACAGTGCAGCAGTGATGACTTGAGTCTGTCTCAACCTTCCATCAGCAGAGTGATCACACCAACAATGACAACACTTTCACGGTCAGCAGTACATTTAATTTCCACTGGGTGTCCTCACCTTGCAGGCTCACAAAAGGGTGTGTCTCTGACAACCAATCAAATCTGTAAAAAGAATGCACCATACCCAGCAACAGGGTCAACTACACCTCTTCACTAAGGTAAAAGTTTGTGTCCCTTCCTTGCTCAGAGTTGCTCTGAGAACTTTCCTAAATCACTCCTAAACTGGGACTGTAAAAGGGATCGATAAGCTCGGACACATGTGATTGTGCTGTATGGACAATTTGGAACCGGTTCTAGATTCCCATCCCTACTCTTTATACATCCATTACACAGACAGGTGAAAACATACTGCATGAGACCCTTGCAAATGCGACAAGCACAAATCAAGCATTATGGCAACAGCTGAAAAACACCTGGCGTCCCAGGTGCTTTCCCCTCTGCTTTTACTTCCTTGAACCCTGCTGTTGTTAGTGGTATTTTGGGGCCAGAGTGGTGTCTTTCCTCTTGATCCATAGCTACCGGCTGGCCTGTTCAGCTGCGCCAGAGAGGGCTTTGATGGCCTGACGCTGGGCTTGGCCTAGTTGATTTGCCCACAAAGCCCCTGCAGCCCATTTGAACTGGGCAGCCGTGTTACGATGTCATCATATTTAGCAGGTTTTTGTCCTCAGATGGCTTTTATGTTTAGCTAGTCCAAGAAAACACAAACCAGACATTAACTGTTTGCCCATGTTTGCAGCCTGAGTATGTTGCAAATCTAAGGGCATTATAGGGGGAAAAAAGTTTGTACACATTTACCACACTCGTTTATCCCTATCTCAGTTAAGCTCATTAATGAGAGGAGGTGATTGTATTGTGTACTTGTGAGTGTGTGTATAGGTAGCATGTATCCGAGAGTGTATGTGAGTTTACTGTGTACTGGGTGTGCATGTGTCTATGTATCTTTTTTTTTTGTTTCCCTTTATTTATTGTGTTGTTTTTCTATTTGTAACCCTTATGCAGCAATTTTTCCCTTCATCCAAATTTCTCCCAAGGGAGACCAATAAAGTAACCTTGACCTCAACCACGCGCTGTTTGCCAGGAGTCCATCATGTATTGAGGCCAATGGGTACCTTTAAACTCTTGCCACAGTTTCTCTGTGTTGTTTACACTTTATTGGGACAGCTCGGGTCAGTGTACTGGTCATAAACTTTGGCCGAAATATTCCAGTAGGCTGGGACCCCCTTCTTGTTGGTTGTATCTTTCAGACAGTCGGACCAGTGAAGTGGGACAAAGGTTAGGTAAGGCTGCAGTCAGCAGTAACAGAGGACAAGCCGGCTGCACAGAGAGCATAGTTCAAATAAGTAAACTATTCTGAAAACAGCAGAAAGTCAATGATTGCAGGTTGTCCTGATGTTTTGACCCGCTCGCTGACATGGTCAACGGTTGCAGCAGTGGCTGTGTGACACAGCTAATGGAGGCAGTTAAGGTACCTGAGGCTGAAAGCCAAAACATGTCAAGAAGTGCAGTGTTAAATAAACACAAGAACATCCTTGCTTTCTCAAACTTTATGGCATGTAGGAGAATCCTAATGGACTGAAAGTCACATCATCCCCCAAATTCCTCTACAAGGTTTAGAGTTCTAGTGTTTTTTCTTAAATTTGAGAAAATTTAATTTTCATTGCAGGGACATCCTGAGAAATTTAAATCCACTCAGGGTCAGATCATACAATACTTTGGTAAATTAAAGACTGTATAGATTCATAACTCTTCTCTGCTACATTGAGGCTCCTTTTTGGCTCACAATTTTTTATCCATATCTTTTCCTGCATTTTATTTATTTATATTGTGTATATGTCTTGAGTTATTATTATTATTATTATTATTATTATTGTTATTGTTATTAGTAGTACTAGTGGTAGTGGTAGTAGTTTTTTAATATTGGAGGCTGTGTGATTTGTTCTGTGTTTGAGGAAATTACTATTAATAATATAAATTAATAATATAAATGATCCTACTGTTCACTTGATTTATTACCACAGTAAACATTTTCCTGATAAGTTTATTGCAGGGAAACTCAATTTGCTTTGCGGGCCACTTTTGCAAAGTGACAGGAGGACAGGGGCCATTTAATAAACAAACATTAATGATATTTATCAGTACATATAATAAATGAATTGTGTGTTTGCAACCTTTGATGTTTGCTGTCCTCACTCAACTTACTGATGAGGCAAGTCACATCACTCTCAGTATTTAGAATATGCATTTTTATCTTCCAATAAAGACATTAAAGTAGAAAAGGACTTTTATTTTGATGAAATTATAGACATTTCTACCTTAAATCGATGCATAAAATTCACCAGAATGCGGAACATTAAATGTTTGCTGCCCAAAATTTCCCGAGAGAGGACCCCTAAGCCCTTGTTTTCTATGTGTCCCCCCCAGTGTTGAATCAAAACCTTGCTCTTGTTTGTAGGATTTGAGGACATTTGAGGGGTTAACCCTGACCTCTGTCTGCACTTTTTTATGCATTCTGGCCCCGTATTGTACATTAAAGTACAAAAAATAATCCTAGTGTGAATCAGCTGATATCAAGTGTGACCTGGAAAATGGTCGGCTAGCTGCCTAGCAGCCTGTCACATGCCAGGATTGGCCCACAGGCCATAAGTTTAGTATCCCTGGTTTATGGCCTCAATCTCTAGTTTCAAGGCTTCTCTGATACAGCAAGATGTTCAATTTGTAAAGTAAGGTCCCATTTGGAGTAAAAAAAAGTCAATAACACAGCTTTAGGGCAGTGGTTCACAACTGGTGGGTCGAGATCCAAAAGTGGGTTGCAGATCTTCCTGCTGTGGAGTGAGTGACTAACAGACAGCTTCTTAACAGAGACGGTAAACTGGCCAGACAACATAGTCAAACACAAGTATGATGCTGTTTGTATTAAACTGTGTGGACCTTGAACTAATGACTAAGGAGAACTCTGGACCTTGTGGCTGAACCAGTTGGGAGCCACTGATCTAGGGCATGGCTGCTTTGTGATTGACAAAGGGGGGCATGCATAGTGTTCTTTGGTTTTCAGTCAGATCCACCCCTCACCCCTCCACATCTCTGCCCTCTCGTAACGTCACAGTGGCTACCTCCACATCTTTTTCATGCCCACGGTTTGCTAACACAGGCTTTCTCCTCTAAATGTTTATTTTAGAGAAATACTTCACTTGCAAAATTACTGTTTGTTCATCAATTACTCAAAAACTTATTTTTTTCCCCAGGAATTGAAGGTAAAACGCAGTGAGTAACTGATAAACAAATGATCATTTTGCAGGTGAAGATTTCCCTCAAGCCTAAGTGTATTTAATGTTTTACATCAGTAAAGGTTCCTCTGATTTAACTATTCTTTAACTTATTCCAGGTCAGGAAGGGCGATGTGGGATGGCTGCTGTCACGTTAAGAGATGGACAGAGATTTGACTCCGCTGCTGTTTGTAAGCAAGTCGAAAACTTCCTGCCCAGCTATGCGAGGCCACGTTTTCTCAGGGTTCAGGTACAGTTCATTTTATATTTTTACAAAAATTTCTAACATTCAGCCTTACTTGAGTTCTCTCTCCTTAGAAGCTATTTCACTGTGGTTACAGAACTCCATGGACATTACAGGCACCTTCAAGCATTTGAAGGCAAAAGTGGTGGAGGAAGGTTTCAACCCAAATAAGATAACCGAGCCACTCTTCTATCTGGATGAAAAAGTCATGGATTACGTCCCACTTACGCTGGATATATTCAACGGTGTTACATCAGGGAAGATTAAATTTTAATTCTACCTCTCCTGCTGGCACTGTGACACATCAAGCCACTGCGATGCTGAGCTCATTTGAGAGGCTGCTTTCTGATGAACTCTTGTGATTTTATTTTTATGTGTTTACATATGTTCTTCTACTTCATCAGAAATTCCACACATATCCATAAATGACTTAAATTCTCCAGAGAGCATGTCATAGCCTGTTGCACTGAGAGGGCATTGATTTACTTGAAGCAAGAGAGCAAGTTTTTCCAGTTGAGGAAATGGCTCCTCACTCAAACTGTGACTTCATGCTGCGTACCATTCTGTTCTGTTGAGGCTATTGTCAGTGCAGGAGCTGGAATCTGTGCCTTGTAAACAAAAGATGTCTTCTTGTATATGACTGTTGATCGTTAGGCATTACGTCCCTCCCTTTCTACAGGGCTGAATGATTGGAGGAAAATAATTGATACAGATTTTTTTCTGATGAGTACTGTGAATTGTAACTATTTTCTTAAAATTAAGTGCTGGACTTTTTAGTAATCTATATACTTTTTACACAAACTTTTATTGTAGCAATCAGAAATATAAATTCCTTGTGTTTTTTCTTAAATAGAAAAATGAACTTGTTACTTAGATCCCTAAATGTTACTTGTCATTATAGCTAGTTATATCAACAATGGCTGTCTAAACCTACAGCATATTAAAGGAGTACTTCACCCATAAAATCATCATGTGCATATCAATTACTCACCCTGTGTTACCTTGATTAGTGAAGAAAACTTTGTTGATGAATTGTAGTAATAAGGGGTTTGCATTTACAACAGCAAAACTATTTCTGCAGTATAATCCAAGTCTCATTTATCCAGCTGTATGCTCAGTACTTCCCAAACACATGCATTTTGGCTAAAACCGTACAATTTAAAACACTTCAGCATACGAGTCGTGCTCCTGCAAGTGCATGTGTTGCTGCTGAATTGAATGGACGAGCGGATTTCAAAGTATTCCTTTAAGACGCTGTAACAAAGCTTTTTCATTGCATCAAGCTGCAGGAAAACCACAGGTGTAATTTATAACTTAAATAAGACCTGTGCTCCTCTAATTGGCCTTTTCCACTGTCACTTTTGGCAGCACCGTTTCAAGCCATGCCGCACTGATTTGCGTTTCTATTATCAGTGGAGACACACCATGCCACGCCGGGCTGCACCAAAGATGGACCTTCTATCGAGTGTGTCCAAAAGCCGGGCTGCCCACCCTCAAATGAGTAGCGGTGATGTCACACTGCAGCTAGGCTGAGTGGGCGGAAGTTCGCTGCATAGATCGGCCTCTCATTGGGCGGAACGAGCCACCTGCTGAAGTCCCGCCCTACCACCTCCGGTTGTGTAGCAGTTTTCAACACGTCCTTTACTAACTTTTTCGGTGTTTGATCTTGCGGGGATGTAGCCATTTTTCTGCCATGGTTCGCGTCCTGTAGGTGATATTTTTGTGGGCGTGTTACACCAAAACCTGTTTCCCCCCGGCAATATTTTTGCAAGCACACCGTTGCTGTGGCAACGCCAAGAACGATTGTGATTGGTTGAAAGAAATAAAAAAAGCCGGGGCGTTTTTTTTTCTCCAATCTTTAAGTGAGAGTCGGCCCAGCCAGACCTTTCTTTTCTTGAGAAAGGTCTGGTGAGCGAGACTACACTGCAGCCAACCCCCTTCTCCCTCTCAAAGAAGCCATGTGTGTTGTGAGATCCTACTCTATCTGCTGATACCAGAGAGAGGCATTTTTAAAAGTCTCTGTGTGTTCATTTCTCAGTACTTTTGGAGCTTCTAACTGAATCGCTGTGGTTTGGAGTTCAGTTTCTCTCCTGCACCCTGTTTGTACTAAAGATATCTGCTTTATTTTACTGTTTCATGTTTGCTATCAGCCGTGTAAAGTTGTGTAAAGTTGGTGCTTGAGAAATTCCTTATTTTGCTGCTTCAAAATAAAAACTTTCTGACAACAAAATAACGTGGGACTTTTATTGTGAAGAATCTGTAGGAAATTAAATACGCTTATCACTCAATTAGCGGAACTTTGTTAGCGGCTTTTCTTCAATACTCAAGATTAATAATACAGCAGGGAGGAAAGCTGATGAAAAGCTGTAGATAACAGGCCGATAGGTAAATTTCTTTAACCTGCCTGGGATCAGCCCTCTGCTTTTAAACATCATCACTCAAAACAAGCCGTCATCAGCTAAAGAACCACCTACATGGAGGAAGCCATGTTGTAATGGAAATGCAAATCCCTGCTTTACAAGTTTCAGGGTAACACCTGTGCTTTTCCCTCTGTAAGAGAAATGTAAAGTGGTTTCACATGACTGGTTTATCATCACATAATGTTGAAGTTTAATGTGTAAAAAACTGTTCCCTTCATGTACCTTGAATAAATCTTCTCTGGGGTGCTGTAAGTGTCTCTGATCACTATGACCCACCAGCTTCTGAGACAGAAACTCTCCTGTCACCCTCTGCTTGGGTGCAGGGTAACCCGGGCTGTGTTGCCCCTGGAGCCAACCACGGATCAGCAGGATGCAGGACAGCTTGACCGGTAAAGACACACATGGGGAATTAAGTCAGAAAGCTGAGGCAGGAGGGACAAGCTCATTAACCAGAAGGTCAGTGATGTTAAGAAGAGGATCAGAAAGACCGTAAATCTCTTGAAAATGTGCAACCTAAAGGTACATGAACCGTCCACCATGATCACGTTTTTGACTTTAACTTCATAGTTCTTTTGAGACCGTGACTTATTATGTTACAGTGGAAGTGTTTTTTGCTTTAATTTATTATAAAGTAAATAATTGCACAATGTAATGCTACAGAATAATGACATTTGCGTTTAGACTGGTTCCCTGTAAGCCCTGTAAGAAAATGAAGGCTTCATTTACAGCACAAATGAAGTGTGTCAACCAAAACAGGAAGAAGATAGTGCTTTTGGTTTCCCTGATCACTATCAGTAGCTTTCCCCAGTTACCAAAGAGTATCAAGTTTTTCGCAGTTACTCTCCCCGGTCCTGTGTGTCCTGTGTTGTCAGTGGTTACTTGATCTTGGATTGGTTGAAATGCTGTCTATTGCTCTATTGATATAACGACAGTCCCACACTTCAGTCGACTTCATCTAGCACCACCAACTGGTTAAAACTTACACCTCTGCAACACAGTCCCAAACAAGATGCTGTGACAAACAGTTCTTCTCTTGTCACAACATCAACATGTAATTCAGTAGCTCTGAGGATATTAAACCACAGTTACAAACACAGCTGCACAGTGGTGTCATACGAGTTTAAGATGTATACTGCTCAGCTTTATGTGTCATTTTTACAAGTGAGATGTCAGTGCGACACAAAGCAACATGCACATGTACAGAAACCTGCTGGTGCACCATTCACAAAACACTTACAAGTTATAGAGACTCTCTGTCCTTTTTTCATCATAATCTGTGACAGTTAATCACTGATCAACAAAAATGCCATTGTCTGCCCTAGTTAAGTTTCAAGTGGTTGAGATACAATTAGTCTAAAGTCCTTGAGGGCCAGTGATGACTAAATTACAAGTCTTCCAGGTCTCTGAATTCTGTTTCTGAACATTTTGACCTCAGATCTGTGTTTAAAATGTTTTTTAAAAAGCCGAGACTAAAGACGTGAGCCTACTGTGATTAAATATCTGTGGTGAATTTGCCGTCTTATCTGTCGCTCAGGTTTTTTAGGTCAAAAGTTTTTGTTGTTGTTTTTGAATTCTCAAGTCAGGTTAAGTCTTTGGCCTTAAGGTGAATCTCAGCTGTTCAAGTCTCCACAGGAGTCCATAGTGGGCCCTCAGCCTTTACACTCAGCAGAAAACATGCCCTTGGATAGCTACCTAAACAAATGCCTGTGTTCAAAGAAAACTTCATTTGCTGTATGTGCCGTTGAAAATGCAAACCAATCTCCATCATGTTTTCCTTTCTTTTTTTGTAAAATAGCCAGTAGCAATCTATAACAAAATATTTTATAAAATATATGCCTACTCTCCATATACTATAAATCAACTATAAAAAAACTATACAATTAAATGAATAATTCCTTATTTTCACTGGTATTTTTTGTCAAATATATACACTAACATTGTCACATATATACACAGTTGCCTATATGCTAATTTTTATCTGTACATGGGCAGGAAACAGAGGACAAAGAACATTTCTTTGCTAAAAGCCACTATCATATATAAAACACAATTACAAAATAGAACATATTCATGACACAACAGCTACAACAACAACAACACAGCTACAACACTAAGATATAACAAGATGTTCACATTTATTATTTTTGGATTTTGCAATTGTGATTGTGAGTGATATTTTTATAATACTCTAACATTTTGTAGACTTAACATTTAACTGAGTTATTGAAATATATATACATTTGTCATGAAAATAAGCAGCAGTTGCAGCTCTGCCCCACACAGAGGCAACAGGGAGCCTCACTACTTGATCCTTCTGACGTGTGTGTGTGTGTGTGTGTGTGTGTGTGTGTGTGTGTGTGTGTGTGTGTGTTGTAGTCACGCCCCTCCTCATAAATCACTTGACAAATAGAGCTCAGTTTAAGAAGCTCACGCCCACTACTTGCTCAGATGCGGGTAAACATGTGCAGAGCTGCTGCGGTGCTTTATGACTGTTGTTAATAATAAACATTGGTGGATAAATATCAGTCTTCTCTCTGCTACTGCCACTCTACAAGCTTTTAATATGAACAATTAGCAGAAAATAAACTGCAGTGAACAGTCATTACCTCGAGGTGTCGCAGCTGTAGATGAGTCAGTGTGTGTGTGTGTGTGTGTGTGTGAGAGAGAGAGAGAGAGAGAGAGAGAGAGAGAGAGAGAGAGAGAGAGTCTGCATGTTCGTCAGGTTTACTCACTTCTGTCTTTGTTTAGCAAGATCAGGTTTTGCAGCACGACAGGCGAGAAAAACAACATGGGGATGTGATAAATATGGATTGAAATAGGTACAAGTAAATTGAGATTAGATGTGGAAACACCCGGGCTGGAAAGTGGAAAACAATCCTGAAATGAAGGAGGGGTCAGCGGGCCTGAGCTGAGCAGTGAGTACCTCCCCGGACTGAGCTGAGTGGGTGAACTTTGTCACAAATCGCTCAGAGCTGCATAACATCCACCTCTGCCTCAGGGACAGATGCCTCCTGTGTAGTATAGTGTAGTGCGCTCTGCAACATGTACATCTGGTTCACAGTGTTAGCCGGACTGGCGATCCTGTCCTTCTCCTTCCTCAGGACGTTTTTCCCATATTTAGGAGAGGACTGCGCGTACATCCTGACGAGCGTCAAACTCGGCTACAGGCTCTTAAAATACAAGAAGGGCAAACCTTTCTACAGCGTCTTGGACCACTTCTTGGATGCAGTAAAGAGGCATCCCAGTAGGATCTTTGTGCACTTTGAAGGGAGACAATACACGTATGGAGAGGTGGACAGACAGAGCAACAAGGTGGCCCGGGCGCTGCAGGCTGCAGCCGGGCTGAAGGAGGGAGACACGGTCGCCTTGTTTTTGGCCAACGAGCCCAGCTACATATGGACCTGGCTCGGGTTGGCAAAGCTGGGATGCCCGGCTGCTCTGCTCAACTTTAACATCAGGTCCAAGTCTCTGCTGCACTGTTTCTCCTGCTGCGGGGCCAAAGTGATCATCGCGTCTCCAGGTGAGTTCAGAGAGGTGTTATTGTGTAA